GGCATCAACCAATATGATACAAGCCAGATGGTCTGTGAGGATCTGTCACACACACACTACCCCATATCTTTGTGGTTTGAGCTCGCAGTCTCCAACCTGGATTGGAGGTTAAACATCACCAAACAATAGAGAGTACCAGTTATGCTTTATCATTTATGTTTTGGTCTCTCAAGTATTCTTCCATTCCAATCGTTTAAAATATCATGGTGTTCTCATGAACGTTCTGGTTGAACGTCCAAAAAGTTCTTAACAGTAATATACTTAAGTGGCTTGTACAGTAATATACTTATTCTTGCCGTAAAATTATATAGATTTACATTAATAAATAAGCCACTTGTAAGCAGTAATATTTTATTGACTGTAATCAGATATTATAATGGGAATTAAGTGCACAAAAACCACAATGAAAAAATTAACATAGCACAAAAAAATAAAAAAGAGACGGTATACATAACAGCAACGGGAAAGAAAAAATTAACAGAGCACAAAAAATATAAAACCGAGAGAAGATCTAAACCCCTAAATCCTTTGTTCTAGAAACCCAACGATAAAGATGTGGTTTCATAGACCTATACTGTCAATTGAGAGGGAGAGAGATAAATAGTTTAGGAGAGATAAAGGGATTGATATAAACCCCAATTTTCAATTCCTAAAAACCAAAATTCAAATTCGCAGAGATATCCAAACCACAAAATCCCCATTTTTGTAATACATTAATTCTGTAAAATCTCCATTTCTGTAAAAACCCATTTCCTCGGAGGAAATGAGAGAAGAGAGAATAGATGAGAGAGACATTAGATGAGAGAGAAATGAGAGATACTCGTTTAGGGCATTGTTTCAAAATAGTGTAGAAGTTCTTGCGCACCAAAGGCAGAACTTTTACAAAATTTAAAACTTTTCTTTCCGAAATATATCTTTCAGCCAATCAAAGACGCACTTAAGATGTGGTTCCTAAATTTCTCTCATTTCAAACTCTAGTCAATAAAATGTGGTTTTGAATTATGCTTGTTATAATATTATAATTATTAATTATACATTGGTATCTAAATCTTCTATTTTATTTATTAATTTATTTGTATTATAAATCATATGATATATTCTTTTTTGTTATAGTTGTAGATAAGGTTTTTTAAATTACATGATGTAATACAAATTTTAAATTAATTCTTATTTGTATAGGAAAATAATTATAAAATTTAAACTAATAATTCTCATTTCAGTGTATGGTATTATAATTACTTAAGTTGCGATAACTTTGGATGAATAAAGAGAATTAATAATGTTTTATGTGATACTAATCTCATTTTATAAAGGGTACTATTTTTTTAATCTATAATATGAAAGTATTTTTTTATGTTTTTTGAATTGTTTTGATATAATATTATAATATTATATTATAATTAATTATCATACAAACATTGAAATAGGGAAACGTCTCAATATTTATGTATTTTTGTAAATAATGAAAGTACATAATGTAACACATCTAATTATTTTTTAAAATTCAAAATATATAATTGTTAGAGATTTTTAGTCCAAAATTTTACAATAAAAGAGGGTCACAACATTTTCTCTCTCTATAAATGGACTAATTTTCACTTGCAAAAGGCATCCTTTTATATGCTATCTCGTCCTTTCAAATTAATTCTTTCTAAAGAAAAGACAACTCTTGTACTAAGAGATCTTGTTATTCCTGTGCATTGCACAAGCAACACAAATGTACGATCTTCAATTGTTAGGTACCCCCAAGCCTTATGCGCACTAATTGTAATTAGTAAAAGCCTAATGATTTGGTTGATTCTATTGCGCAAAAATGGTTCCTCTTTACCTTCACTTGCGGTGACTGATGTTGTAATTTCACCTTTGTAATTTTCGTTACTTGCATTAAATAAATAAAGTGCCATTTGTCAAAAAAAGAGAGAGAAAAGCGGCAAACATTGCCTTGAAATAGCATATTAACATGCCATAAAATATAAACATCTATCTTTAGTTTATCTAAGATTTCCTTTTTGATTGGTAGTGGCATTTGTCTGATTAATAAAACTTAAGTAACATTGTCAAAAAAAAAAAAAAAGTTTAATCTAAAGTTTCAGCCTTAAAATATATAAGTACAAATGCACCTCAAAAATCTATAAGAAAAGGTTGTTTTAATGTTTAAAAGCCCTCCAATTGATCATCTTGAATATGGAAAAAAAGAAAGAAAAGATATTGAGTCCTAAGAATAGTGCATCTTGCATCCATTTTCAAGATTTTCATATATTTATAGATCTACTCGATTTTAACTATTTTTTTAGTTTAAAATTTTATAATTAGATATAAAAATAGATTTTTACATTATCATAATAATTTTTTACCCCAAAGTTACATGTTATGATAAAATTTGGAGGTACGCTTTAATTGGATCGTTTAAGGTTGCAACAGTTTATAGAAACCACCCCCTTCTATAATACCTCCAAAAGATTGAAATTTACTGCCCTCTTTCACCCACATTCAATATTTCCATCAAATAGTACGTAACTGTTTAGAAATCAATTTTGTTGCTCCCATAGGGGGATTTTTTTCATTTAAAAATTTTATAACCATTTTGAATTACCAAATAATTATTTGGAAAAGAAAAAATTTTGAGATCTTAAACACCTGATCTTATCGCCTAAAAATAGATAGTATATGTCTAAAGCATATTTTGTCATGCACTTTTAGAGTACAGGGAATATGCCACTGATCACCCTCAATATCGGATAAGAGTTTCCTCTGTGGATAGATGACATACCCCAGCCATATAATTTTCCATGTGACTTGTGAGGTGTTTGTGACTTTCTTGTAAAAAAAAGTAAGCCATTATATGTTAAGCATTCACTTTTGATACCAATGGTCCTTGATTATTTTTACCGATTGGATGTGAAATTCGATTGATTAAAATATGTTACAATATACGAGAAATTTTACTTTAGATTTTGTGTCTCATCAATGATATATCCCAACAACCCAATTTCACATATAACTATTAATGATAGTTTTTATTTATTTATACCAAAAGTAAATGATCTTATTGCACATATTTTCAAAAATTAATCTCATTGTTAAGGTTGGCTAACTGCTAAATTACATACCAAAGGTCCAAAACATTAGGTTTTTGCCTAATAAGCCTATACTTTGTCCTCATGGGTATTTAATATTTTTCAAAAAAAATTGTTGGAAGGTTAAACATCAACCATGCAACATTCTCGAGAATTTAAAATTGAAAAAAGTTTATATAGGGTCGACACCTTAAAGTTAGAATTAAAGTGCTCATTGAAAATCCCTAAAAAAAATAAAAATAAAATAAAAGGAAAACAGGTTCTTTTGATTGGTCATCTCGACATCGAGATGTGTGGATATGAATAAAAGGAAGATTGTAAGTTAAAAAATAGTCCATTTTACAACACATTATCTACACCATCCCTTTTTTATATTTACATGTATTTATATATCTGCTTGATTTGATCCATTTTTTAAATTTTTAAATTTATAATTAGAGATGAAAATCATCCTAATAATTTTTTACATCAAAATTGAATGTTATAACAAAGTTTAGATGTGCACCTTATTTTGATTGTTTAAGGTTGTAACCTTATACAAACCGCACTTTTTAGTATAATGAGACTATTTGCGTTGGTCACAATTAATCTTGACTATTGGGTGTAAAATTGGGTGGCTATTTTTATTTTATTGGCCAAGCTCAAAGTTCAAAATTTTTTTTTTTTGACCTTTGCAATATATTCAAGCTATCAAATTTCACATCAAATGCTGTAATTACTTGTAACCTCTTATCAAAGATAAATGATATCATTCTACACAATCCCTATAATATTTGTAATTCTCCTGGGGCAAAATACTACGGGCAATTCGATATATTCAGTTTATTAAGGAGACAAAAACAGGGGCAAGTTTGATATTTTATGAAAACCGGAGGAACTGTGGTGAAAGATTTGGCCCCCAGGCCTCAAGCCCTAGGAGCCTAATGGGCATTCACAACGACGACAAAACATCAATTGACTGCTAGAGAGAGAGAGAGAGAGAGAGATTTTCTCTGGTAATGGCATCGGAAGCTCCAAATCTCAATTCACATAGGCTTTGTCCCAGGTACTAATTATACCCACAATTTATTTTCTGGTCTTATACAAGTGCGTAGAAAAACAATTTTTTTTTTATGGGTCTAATGCATAGAGATTGTGTTCTCCATTTCTGCTATGTCGTGTCTTATAGTGAATTCTGTTCCATAACTGAGTTTGCTCTGATTTTTAATGGAGAGAGAGATATGATGATACGAGTAGAGAGATAGAGGTTGCTGTGAACTTGTGAATGTTCTGTCATCAAATTTTGTTTACCAGTTTTGAAAACGAATGATAGAGCTTGGACCCAAATCCAAATAATGCTTCCCATTCATTTTCACTTCCTCAAACCGGTACATCTCTCTTATTCTCTGAGGACCCATTTTGTCAAACTGCCTTCTTTTCTTCCTCTCGCTAGAAAATTTACAGAAACCAGTCGTAGTGAACACACCCCATGTAATAGAAGAGAGCTTCATGAGCTCATGTCCATGATCAATCATAGAAGGCCTGATAACACTTTCTCCGAGAACACTGACTTATTCGATATTCTTATGGAAGTATGTGCATCCATGAATGCAATTCAAGAAGCAAAACAAACCCATGTACATGCCATAATCACTGGATTCGACCAATATGCGTTCCTTCAGGCTAAGGTCATTGCCATGTACGATAGGCTTGGTCTCCTCATAGACTCTAGAATGGCTTTCAACTCTATACGGAACCCCAAAATTCTATCTTGGAATGCCATTATCAGAGCATATGTTTGCCATGGAAATTTCAATGAAGCCATGAGAATGTATCACCTAATGGCTGCAAATGGAGTTTGTGGAGATGGGTTCACCTTTCCTCTGATTATAAGATCTTGCTCTGCAACTGGGTCAGTGGAGGAGTGCAGGAAGGTCCATGACGATTTGGTGCAAGTGGGTTTGGAGCTTCGACTCCATGTGGCTAATGGATTGATTGGAATGTATAGTAGACTTGGAAGAATGGACATTGCAGCCAGTATATTTGAGAGGATGCCTCTGAGAGATGTCATCTCGTGGAATATATTGATGTCTGGTTATGTTTCTAATTTGGATTGTGGCAGGGCTCTTGCTCTTTTTGAAAGGATGGTTTCAGGGAAATTGAAGCCAAACTCCATTACATGGACGTCTTTGATATCAGCCCATTCTCGATGTGCTCATTATGATCAAGCTCTATGCTTGTTTGTCAAGATGAGGACTTTAGGAGCATTGCTGAATGGGGAAATAGTTGCAGTGGTTCTGTCTGTTTGCTCAAGATTATCTGCATTGAACAAGGGTAAGGAGATCCATGGCTATGTTATCAGGGGTGGATTTGAACACCTTATGTGTGTAAATAACTCCCTTGTTGATATGTATGGAACATGTGGAGTCATGGATGATGCCAAGGCAATATTCCAAGAGATGGGTGAAAAGGACTTGGTGACATGGAATGCTATGATTTCTTGTTATGCTTTGGTGGGTTATTGTCACAAGGCTTTTGAGCTTTTCTCTCAGTTGGAAATCGAAAAAAAGAAGGAATTGAGACCCAATGTGGTCACTTGGAGTTCAGTTATTAATGGGTTTGCCTCGAAAGGGAATGGAGAGAAGGCCTTGGAGCTTTTTCGCCAAATGCAAATGGCTGGCATTGAGCCCAATTCAGTAACTATGGCAACAATGCTATCAGTTCTGGCGGACTTGGCTGCCTTGGATCATGGCAAGGAGATCCATGGTCATCTAGTTAAGGGCCTTCACTGCTCAAACCCACTTTTGGGTAATGGTCTAATTCACTTGTACACCAAGTGTGGGAGCCTAGAATATGGGTGCATGGTATTTAATAGGATGACTAACAAAGACATTGTTTCATGGAACTCAATGATAGCTGGGTATGGGATGCATGGATACGGTATAGAAGCTCTATGCCTCTTCGACCGGATGTTTCAAGCTGGTCTAAGTCCAGACCATCTCACATTTGTTGCAGTCTTATCTGCTTGTAGCCGTTCTGGCTTGGTTAAGGAGGGTCATGAATTGTTCGATAGGATGACTAATGAATTTAAGCTAAAACCATGGCTGGAGCATTATGCTTGCATGGTTGATCTCCTTGGGCGTGCTGGTTTTTTAGTTGAGGCTAGAGATTTTGTGAAAAACATGCCATTGGAACCCAATCCTTGTATATGGGGGGCATTGCTTCACTCTTGTCGAATTCATAAGAATGTTACAATGGCTGAAGAGATTGCTCAACACCTCTTTGAGCTTGAACCAGATACTACTGGGAGCTACATGTTGCTTTCAAATATATATGCTTCTTGTGGGAGGTGGGAGGAATCTGCCAAGGTGAGGATATTGTCTAAGACAAAAGGCTTGAAGAAAGAAGCTGGACAAAGTTGGATTGAGGTGAAGAAGAAGGTGTACATGTTCAAAGCAGGGTTCGATTCTCAACCTGGATTGGATGAAGTCTATGCAATTCTTGAGGATTTAACTCAAAAAATGGGAGCTGTAGGTTATGTACCTGATAATACACCTGTTGTGGACAAGGAAGAGAAAGAAATCAATTCTCTATGGCCATAAGGAGGGCCTATCAATAGTAATTTCTTTGTTAGATTGTATTCAATATACCACTCTAGTTAGGAAGAACCTTTGTATTCAAGATATTGGTGTATTTGGCGTAAGTTTCTCTCAAAGGTCGGAAGACATGACGTTATAGAGAGAGAAGGCATTCTTTCTATCATTTTTCAAAATTTGGACTCTCTACCTCATTGCTGATGTTCTCGACTTATGTGAGAAGGTGCAATGCCAATGCAGATTATAAGATACACATAACTGCCATTTAATTTGGCAGAATTACCCTTCAAGAAACGTAATTTACAGCATACTCGAACAGTTGGGAGCATAGTCATGGATTCTTTTACCAAAGAGCAGCGGTCCTGCTCAGTTCCCCTTTCTAACTTAAGTAAAAGTTCCAGATGTCATTCTTTCTTGGCAGTTTTGGTTACTTAGTGAAGTCTTCTGGAAATGTTGGGCATATTGGACTAATGGATACTGGGGTGCCAACCCCAATTAATTGTGAGAAGGCTATGATGATGATGATTGGACTAATGAATACTGAGGCTAGGCGACTTATTGACATTTTGAGGATGATGGCTGTTGGCTTTTCAGATCATTTGATAAAAGAAGAGGACTTCCTAAATGCTATCTGATGAGCTAGTGACTCTTCCTTATGGTGGTTCTGAAAGAGTATCTTAGAGGAGACAAGATTTAGCAAGAATATTTCATTTCTCTCAGACATTAACTAGGTTGAGCTAGTTCATATGCAGTCTTCAGATATTTAGTTTATTATTTTGAGTCTTCAGACTTTCTTTGGCTTTATATGGCTCTTTGGTTGTCATTAGTTTCTGACTGCAAGTCTATTTCTATTCCTTTTTGGCTTTTTTCGTTTCCCTTTTATCAAGTCTTTGTTCATAATAACTTGTATGAATACCCTTGTTCTTCAATTCTGCTGTCACATTTGTTTTGTATCTTCAATATCTCCCTAGACCCATGTTAATGCTGTTGAACATAAATTTTTGTAACAGATGATAATGCTTCATTAAAGAGAAGCTGCATAGGAGGAACAAAATGAATCCCCAGGGGTAGCGGCAAGAATGGCATCTCCTTTTACCTCGTTAAGTCTAACAAATGTTCATAGTATTATTATTATACATGTGCAAAGTATATTGATCAGAATTTATATTATTCTTCCTTATCCTCACTTGAGCCATATGTCTTTGTCCATGCTGCTTCAGATTTGGGACATCAGTCTTAGTTGGCATACTGATGTTTCTGGACCTTGACTCATCAGTTAGTGGATTGTTAGTTGGGGTGTTCTTTTACATGATATTTGTTTTAGTTATACATAGTTTTTATTTTCATTTATTATAGAAATGTCCAAGGGCGTTGTGGTCATTACCCGCTATGTAGATTTGTGTGCATACTAATCTAATGATGCTTTCATCTTCTTGTGATGGCCCCTCACATCTCTCATTGTTTCCATTGTTCTTCAATCACATTAATCTAGCCGACAAGTTGGGAAAGTAGCCAATGTCATTAATGATCGGGTTAATAGTTATACTTGAGATTGGGATTCTATACAATAACATTTACTTTTCTTGTAAGCAGGTCACAATTATTATTAACTGTTTGTTGCGAAATTGGATGATTGGGGATATGCCACTGACTGGGTCCAAAATAAATTTCTCGAATGTTGTGACACACTTGAATATGTCGGATTTCATGTCCAATGACTGCGAGTGATTGTGACCTCCTTATACTAAAAGTGAGCGGTCTTATTGTATACAATCCCAATATGAATATATTGTTGATGCTATTAACTCTTTAACAAAATCATTTTGAAATTTTAATTGTCTTCATTCTAAAATTGATGTCATTTAGGTTATATGTATTTTCAAATAAATTGAAGGGCCATTTACAACTTGGACGCTGTGTGCAAACAATTTAGCTTACAAGAAGTCGCCTTCTCAAAAACAATTTAGCTTACAAGAAGTTACTTTCTTGAAGTTCCTTAAATCCTTATAACTGTGCAATGATGATTGGGTTTGTATTGTATTCGATAAACAATGTGATCTTAAAAACAAACCATGCAATTGCATTTGTATTTTGTGCATTATTTCCAATTCATTAGCTTTTTTCTATTCAAGAAATGATTTTTGACATGAACTTCTTAATCATGCTAGGATGGGAGAGAGGCCTTCTCTTTTATCCCTTTGTACAAATGCACTTGCATCAACCATTATTGGTGGTATGTTCTACTCTTGGATGCTTTGTGGACATTTTAGTGGTTATTATTGAAAGATAAGTGGCTATAATTCATTTTTGGTGGTCTCAGGAAAGTATGAATTACATCACATATCTGAACTCCCATCAGATTTATATGATGACTTATTGCTGTGCCTGACCCCATCAGCCTTGCAAGAGCTACAGGATGAGCTGGTTAGCTACTTAAGGTCTGCAGAATGTCTTTCTCAAAGAATAAGTTTTACTTTTAATCTTACTTGGACTGTGTTGGAAATATGAATAGTTCTTGAGCATACAGGACTGTTCAGACCAAGTCTTAAATGTGACTGCTTTAGCATAGCATCTTTAAATAAATGTGGTGTGGGTTTTCTCTAGTTGTCTACCTTCATTGTCACATTTAAATCTTATAGATACTGTTTGCCGATCCCTGAAGAGAAAGTTTCATAGTTGGTATAGTTATTGTTTAATGAATTGGTGTAACTAATATGATTATCCAGCATTGAGTAATTTTTTTTATCATGAATTTCGATGGGAATATGCTTTTTTGCTTTGTTTTTGGGTGTAGGGTGGGTTTTTTTTGTGCCTTTTTCTCTTTTTTTTCTTTTTCTTTTTTTTTTCTGTTGGCGGGGGTGGGGTGGTTGTGGTGGTTTTGAGCTATGAACCTGAACCCATATTGCATGAATCTTGATTAAATAAAATTTCTTGGTTTTCTACAGAAAATCGATTTATGGGATCTCATGTAGAACTTTTTTTTCTTTTAAGGGTTTAGTTTTCAGGGTCTTTGCCTCTATTTGAAAGCATTTATTGCTGTGGGAGCGTGAGAAAGTTTGTGATACTTATGGAGTTATGTACATGCACAGCTCAAACACATATATGTGCATCATATTTGATTTATTCTGCATTTATTGCCTTGATGTTTGTAATTTCATATTAAGTAGTCATTCTCAGTAATCAAGGTTGAAATCTGAGACTCTTGTTCTTAAGAAATGGTACCCTTTACTGGGCAAGCTGCTGAGCTGCTTGGAGTCCTCAAAAGAGGCTTAGGATCTATCATTCACTTGAAATTGAGATTGATTTCTTCAGGGCCATCAAGTGACGTATGTGACTCAAATGAGTCAACTTGCTGTGTCATGAGGCATGTGCCTCAATAAATTTTCAGTTGTGAACAAATGAAACATGAATTACTAGGTTTGGATGCTGAACTTTCATGTTACTGCAACCGTCATTATATAGATTATCAGCACCAACATTGTACTTATAACAGAAACCTTTTAGTTTGAGTTATGTTGTCTAGAATTGTTTTCATTGTCTCTTTTGTAGGTTGCGAAATTGTTGTGCCAGGGATCCTCTAACATCCAATACCAATGAAAATGTTAGAAAGCGTGCTAGATTTGATGAGAGCTTTGGGCATCGAAGCGAAGGAAAATTTCCTTTGACAGGTGATGATTTCCTGATTCAATTAGACAATAGTTTTAGTATGGCATGGAAGGCTTTGTTAAAGGCAAGGTGGCCTCAAGGTGGAAAGCAGGTCCAATGGATTGATTCTATGTTAATGCAAGATAGTAAGGGAAACTCCGAGGATGCCAGCAACTGGCAGCAGATGTATTGGGAAGCTCACCTACAACAGTAAGTCCAATGAAGCCTATGTTTGAGTTGATATAGTAGAAACTTAAGGACTATAGTTTTTAATATAAATTTTTTTAATGGAACCCTTCCAGTTGCCTTGATGAAGCAGCTGCTCAGGCGTTATTGCCTAATTTTCAAGGTTGTATTGGAGATATCACTTTGCTTGGTAAGAGAGAATATCTACATACTCTTTCCCTTTAGCTCCTTCCATTTGATGAACCTTAAAATTTAAAATGCAGTAAAGGTGTGTCTTATTTCTCTATTTCTTGGGTACCAACTATTTTCTTGGTGCCATTGCCAATATCTAGTGAAACAGTGTGATAGTAGCATTTGTATGCAAATTTGACCACATTTTAAAACAAAGGTTAGTGCAACCACTACTTTAATTCCTAATCAAGGATAACTGAAAGTTGGTAGTAGGTGGTATTGGGGCATTTTGGAAAGTTTATAGGGCGGTATTCTTAGACTAAACGTAGGGGCAGAGTGTACGGAAAGAAGTGAGATTGGTATGCATGTAGATTTATAGGTCTTTAGGCATGGGAAACGAGGATTGTATGCCTTTTAAGGCTTTCCCATGCTTTTTTTATTCTTATGGGTAGGTATGCTAAGCAGTGGGATTCCAACCTGGACATCATACTGCTTCTTTACATCCTTAATGACCAAGTCAAGAGCCCGAAACCTTTCTTTCAACACGTTTTTAGATATTCCTCGTGATTCAGTAACACCATTAAAGGCGAGGATATGATTACATTCCACTGTGTCCATTACATTCAATCAAATCAGCTGTTTTGAACTTCTTCTAAGTAGTAGTTTCAAACTGATTAGATGTTCATATTGTCATGAAATTCCAAGATGAATGTCATGTACAAGAGCTTCAGTGATAGATTTTGCTTTTCCTTTTTGACAATATGAATATCCAAGATGAAAATGTCATGTACAAGAGCTTAATTGGTAAATCTTGTTTTCCGTTTTTCATAATATTTATATTGTTCTGTATCATCCTACTTATGAGTGTAATTATGAAATTGGGACTGGATAAGTTTCCACTTGAGCAAGTCTTAATCACCATTTTGGATATTAGCAAATGGATTCATGGCAAATTCGTATGGTAAGAATATGACTAGCGGCACTAGCCTGTCATGTGCTTTTACATTACTGTGCATGATTGAAGCGGGAGGCTTCTGGCTCTACATCTCATCCATTTGCATATTGAGTCTCATTGATGTTGCTTAACATATGAGGATATCTTTGTGCGTTGTGTGTTATTACATATCTCTGAAGGTGTTGAGAGACACTCAATATGCACACAGATGAGATGGAGAGCCAGAACCCTACCACTTTCAGCATTGCACAGCTATTTAAATAGCACATGATAGTGCTAATCATATTCCTACCATATGAATTTACCATGATTCAATTTTCTCACATATGTAACAAGGAATGAGACTTGCTCGTGATGAAACATATATATAATTTAGGGCTTTCTCTTGAACCTTTGGGGAAACTTCTTTGTGCTGTTCATTTTCAGTTTAATTTTTCATTTTGTAGTCATTTTGCTTTAGTCAACATTTTCAGTTCCCATGGAGCACACTGGATCCAAGATGGGGATTCCTAGTACAAGTTATGACCGTTCAAAGTTATCTTATAATTGCCAACAATATGGGCGTTATGCGAGGTAAGTAGTTTACTTTGTACTTGAAATTTCCATTCTTTTCCTCTGACTGACAAGGTGTCCTCGGATCAATAAGGAATTTATAGTTTTCATATTGTCTGAAAGACTTGTTCCATTCCATGCAAGGAATTTTTTCTTTCTTTCTTTTTTTTATGAGCGTCAAGGAGACTAAGGGGGTTCTTGAAGTTATTATGTTCCCACACCTTTTGCGTATCCTTGTTTTTTTTTTGGAGAAGTGGTTGACTTTATCAAAGTAGCAAAAATACATTACAATTAATTAATGTAGAGGCAGCCCACAGGGTCCTCAGAATACAGAATAGAAGGAGAAGATGAGATAGGAGAAATAGGGGGGTAAAAGAGGGTGAGAGTCAGTTGGGGGGGGAGAACAGAGCGAACAAGCTAAGATAAAATAAACACTACAGAAAAAACCAGGAGCTGAGTTGCTAAAGAAATCAAAGGCGGTCTTATTCAAGGGGCAACAGCTTAGGCAAGGCACGGACATCTTATGAGGAAAGGCAGCAGCATCGTCTAAATGGGGCATCAGATTTGGCAAGGCAAGGTCTTTTCACGAGAAAATGCAGCAGCACTATCTAATTGGGGCAGCAGCCCCATCTAGTAGGGGCAGGGGCTTTAGCCAAGCCTTCTGAATCTTGTGGTAGAGGCGTCGGTGAAGCACAACCAAAAGAATTTTGAAAAGAAAGAGCAGAGAGCAGACGGAGTAAAAGAGGTAAGGGAGGAGGGAAGAGGGGGGGGAAGAAGAGAAACAAGAGAGAGAAAGAAGGTGAAGAGGAGAGGGATGAGAGTGCGAGAGAGAAGGAGAGATTGGAGGAGAAGTGGGTAATGTGAGAGGAGTGGATGAACATGGGAGGTGACCAGAGTAGAGGAGGGAGGGGTAAGGAAGACGAAGGGAGGGAAATCAGTAGGATACAGATTGAAAGGTTTAGATAGAGAGGGAAGAAGGGGATTTGAGAGATAAATAGTTATAAATCACGTCGTTTTCTCTCTTATTTTTTTTTTCCTTTGTTTTGCTTGTTTTTCTTTTTTCCTTCTCTTTCTTTTTTTGTTTCTCTTTTTTTTTTTTCCTTTTTCTTCTCCTTTTCTTCTTTCATAATTTTTTTTTATAGAAAAAACCGTCGGCGAGGTACAACCATAAGAAAGTGAGAGCAAAGAGAGAAGAGCAGAGAGCAGAGAATAAGAGAGGCGAGAGGGAAGGGATGAGGGTGAAGGGAAAAAAAGAAGCAAGAGGGGTAAATGGGGCGAAGGGAAGATGAGGAAGAGGGGATCTGGGGGGGTGAAATAATCGAGTAGAGAGAGAAAGGGGGCAGATGGGAATACTGATAGCATCCCACTTTTACCCCAGAGCCAACTCAGACTGTGTTATTTGAATCCTCAACTCATGGGCCCTTGATCATTAAAAGAGACTTTGCATCACAAGGGTACAATGTGTTCAGTTTGCTTATTGGGAACTACCAATTTAAGTTGCACATACTTGAGTAAACATCAAAACATTCCATGCTATTTAGACACCAGAGGGTAATTTGGACAACAGATATTCCAATTTGCAAGAGGCAGTCTAAAATGTTGAAAGATGATTGAGGAACCACAAATATTTGTAACTGAATAATTTTCTCAAAAATAGAATAATAGAATGATTCTGCAAATAATTACAAGAGATAAGAGAGAGGGTGCTTTTCTTTCCACAAGGTTGGGGGAGAGGAGGCAGGTGAATGGCTTCATACTGCTTCTTAAGTAACTCTATATTCTTCTGAAAGGGAGTGAGGAATGGTGTCATGAGCACAATTTCCTTTTCATGCAAGAGAGACAAGGAAAACATTTTTTGAATCCTCAACTCATGGGCCCTTGGTCATTAAAAAGAAACTTCGCATCACAAGGGTCCAATGTGTTCAGTTTGCTTATTGGGAACTACTAATTTTCTCTTCTAATCCAATTGTATTTAAGTTGCACATACTTGAGTACAAAATATTCCATGCTAGCTATACTCCAGGGGGTAATTTTGACAACAGATATTCCAATTCGTAAGGGGCACTCTAAAATGTAGAAAGATGATTGAGGAACCACAAATATTTGTAACTGAATAATTTTCTCAAAAATAGAATAATAGAATGATTCTGCAAATAATTGCAAGAGATAAGAGAGAGGGTGCTTTTCTTTCCACAAGATTGGGGGAGAGGAGGCAGGTGAATGGCTACATCCTGCTTCTTAAGTAACTCTATATTCTTCTGAAAGGGAGTGAGGAATGGTGCCTGTCATGAGCACAATCTCCTTTTCATGCAAGAGAGACCAGGAAAGCATTTTTTCACCTGATGTTGACACACACAAAAATAGTAAGATATCATGCCATGGTTGACCTTCTTAGTAATATAATGCCATACATGTAACTCAGAAACTCTGTTTAGGTTAGCAGATTTAATTCACCACAACTAACGAAGTTTAGTTTGATGGTCTCATATTTAGCACTTTGTTTCTATGATGTTACAGATGCAACAGTCCTCAAGATATCTAAAACACTGATATTTCTAGATTGAGTAGGGATTGGAATGGGGCTTGAATGGCTTGGGTCTTGACACTTGCAGCACCATATCCGGGGTTTGAATTCCACCACTAACCTACCGAATACATATAAGTGTGCATGCACACATAAGCCATCGATTAAATTATAGGATGTATATGTAATTCATGAAATCTATATTCAACTATTCTAAACAGCTTATCCATCTTACATATTTAGAAGTTATTCAAAAAATTTCTCAATTTTAGATCGTTTTATGTTATAAAATTAAACATGACAATGCTATTAAGTTATGAATCAAGTCATTTTTCCTCAGGATTGAATGCTAAGCTCATAACAGTGACAACACAGGACATTTAAATAATATAAGTGATACAACAACAGGACAGTGTGAGTATCATCACTAAACTCAAGAGAAATACATAATCACATGCATGATGTTTTATGCGATCAATGTGTTGGCACCCACTTTGGTTCATGTGACAAATGAGCACCTATATCAATTCCTATGAGTTCTCTTTCATGATGGAACTGCATATCAAAGTTGACGTAGATTCAATTCTAGAAAAAGCAACAATCATGCCAGTTTCCTGCAATATTAGTGATCATCTCCTCACTGAAGCCATTATGCGAATCAACTTCTTTGCTTACAGGGTAAAGAGCCCCTACTTGGTCTTACTACTCTAGTTCTAGAGAGAACATCACACGTGTTGGTGTCAAGGAGATGCTGTCCCGTTTCTTTGTTCTCTCTTTCTCTTTGATTGTGCGAGTGGATCCTTAATACATGACATTATAGAAACTTAGGAACCAAAGGAGAACAGTAATTTGCACCATACTTTTTATTGTTTGTGTTTGTACATCAACTAGTGGGATTAAATATGTACTAGAATAAATACTCCTTGAGGGGGATGCCTTGCTTATTTTGAATTTGATTTCTATGTGCACATTTGATGTTATTTTACAGTTATTCCATGTGTTCCTACCTCCCTTGGCGATATCTGTTTTGATTGTTGTATTCATACATGCATTTTATCCTTTGTTACATGTCCATGATGTTTACCAAGAGAAGTTCTTCTGTTATTGAGTCAGTTTCTTGGATTACAAGATCCTTTTTTTCTTACAAAGCTAGTAGTCTTGCTCTATTAAGGTGAATTCAATAACAGTGGCGGAAAAATTGTGTATTGATCGTTTTCCCTCTATTCACAGATTTGTGAAGCTTCAAAATGTCCTTTGTGTTGAGGAAACATGTGTAAGTACTAGATTATTTTGATCATTTAATAGAAATACATCCCCTTTCTCATATAGAATTGTGAGATCCAAGTGGTGGCTGCATATATTAAGGTGATATGCTATCAATATTGAGTACATCCCAAACGAATTCAATTTACTTTCAAAACTATTACAGTGCTATTGACTTAAAAGAAATTCAGATTCTCTTGAGGATCATATGCAAGTGTTGTGTGTTGGGGTTTGTGGTCTTTAAAAGCCTAGAGAGCATGTAAATGCAGTTAATTATTATGGATTTTGCACTTCAGTGTGAGAGTATGCATTTGACTTGACCTAGGGTTGGGCAGTTTATGGCCCAAGTCATTGTCCAAAACCCTTTACTGAGCATGGGCACTATCGTTGAGGGTTTATTGTGAGTCATCCCTTGTGGAGGTCGTAGAGATGCCAAAGATGTTGTTTGTGAGTCAAGAGAGTTGTGTGGTCTCCTGTGAGCGGAGGAAGCCTGTGAGAGTGAGGGCCAAATTCTCAACGAAACTCCAAATTCTCAACGAAACTTTTGTGTGGCAATGTACATAGGACAACCGCATTTTTGGGAAGCAACCCTATATAGAGGGTTGTGTGGTCTCCTGTGAGCGGAGGAAGGGCCTATAAGAGCGAGGGCCAAATTCTCGACGAAACTTTTGTGCGGAAATGTACATAGGACAACCGCATTTTTGAGAAGCAACCCTATATAGAGGGACATGTACATGTGCATAGAGAGAGCCCCCTTGCACTATAGTGATATGTGCATTCTTACTAGCTCTTAAGGAAGGAACCTATAATCCACATACTGGGAGTATGGTTTCATTGTTTATTGGCTAGCTTTGACATGCCAATCATGAGCCCCTGCACTTGACTGTTGGTAATGGGTCTTGTTACATTGGTTTGAGAAGACAATAGTGGATCATAGCTCATGGCATGGGTGGAGTGCCTTGACTATTGCAAATGTTTTGACCAATATGATTCCAATCCATTTCTATGTAGTATTTCTATGTGTTTTGTTTTTTAATGAATTCCAGGAATGTAGTTTTCAACCAAATAAGTGTTTATGTGATTTATGGATATTTTTCAGAATTGTAAAACTATTTTTAAACTCAAAAAAACCCCAAAGGGGTATTTATGTAGATTATTCTAGACTTTTTTTTTTAACCTGTGAACTTGTAGATTATGCTAGACTATTCTAGAAGATAAATTTGATATGTGATAGGTCTAGATTGATTAGAAGTGGATATACGTCACATCTTAGGGGATAAGGTTCCAAATTTTCTCCCTTAATCATGATAAATGGTTCCTAATTTTCTTCCTTAATCATGATGACTGATTTAGGGATAAATGGTTGAGATTTATACTCTCACACCCCACATATTACCTAAATATTTTGGATACTGCTGAATTGGGACTTCCTAGGACCCTTGAGGCCTAAATAGGAGGACCTCCCTTCATTCTCTCTCCTCCATGCCACCTACATCGCTCTCTTGCTCCTCTCTCTTCTCTCTACAAGGGTAGCATGCCGCACCCCATAAGTGTGTGGGGTGGCATGCACCTCAAAAAGAGAGCCAAGAAGAGGGGCATGCCCAGCCTTAATTTTAGATAGGGGAGGTGCCATCTTGTGGCATTAGAAAGGGTTCTTTGTGAAACCCCAGTTGTAGCCCATACTCTCAACTCCATAGGTTTTCAGATAAGGGTATTTCAGAGGTGTTTCCCAATTGTAGTTGGTGGATTCAATAGTGTCTGCACCTGATTTAGTTGGTGGATTCAATAGTGTCTGCAATCAGGTGCGCCATTTGTCAGGTGATCAGGTGGGGAGTGTGTAAGCCCTAAGGGAATAACCCTTGGCAAAAGTCAGATAGTCTTCCCTTAGTTATTTAATTTTATGTTATGTTGTCCTTGTCTATTTATGCTTTTTAAAATTATCAGTTTGAATATAAAATGATCAAAACTTAGAAATTATCAATTCCGTTTGTATTTAGTTTATAAAGCTTGGCAATGTAATAGAATTGATCAAAACTTAGAAGAATATAAAAATACTGAGAAAAACACTAAGGGTACATTTGGTTTGTGCATGAATATTTCCCGGGAAGTATTTACATATGTAAATTGTGTTTCATATGTTTGGTTTGTTCAAATATATATGCAAATAAAATAGCATGGTAAAATAGTTTACCATGAAAGGGCCTAATACATGATAATATGAAACCACAACTATTTACATGGGGAATTATTCCCCATGCTTCGGTTTGCACACCGGACCTGAAATGTTTTTATCAAATCCACCTAAACCACTCCCGTGACCCTCGTCTCTCTCTCGCTAACCCTATCCCTATCCCTTTGCGAGACCCTCGTCTCTCTCTCTCACGAACCCTATCCATCGACCCTCTGTCTCTCTAAACCCCAACACTGCGAGCACCAACAGCTCTCCTCTCTCTCTCTCTCTCTCTCTCTCTCTCTCAGAAGCTCTCACTAAAGCACAGAGCTCTACGAGCACCAATGGCTCTCCTCTCTCTCTCTCTCTCTCTTGCTTACACACACACACTCAGAAGTTCACACAAACCCTGCAAGGTAAGCACCCTCTGCGTCTGAAACCTGGGGAGGCACCAACAGCCCTCATGTCTCTTTCTCTCTCTCTCCCTTATAGAAACCATCCCCATGACCCTCATCTTTCTCTCTTTCTAAGCCCTCTGTGTTCATTACTTGAACCACAGATATTCAGAATTCAGGTGGATTCAGAAAACCCTATCGGCCAAATTGGTAGTTTTTCGGTGAAATTGCAGAACTCTGGTTGATTTGTTGCTGAGAAACTGAGATTCAGCAAGATTCCGACAATTGCCTTGGGATTTTGACCAAAAGAACCTCCTATGTATGAGATGCACGACCACGAAGGGAGGAATTTTGATGAGTTTTACTCACTGCCAGATCAAGTGCCACGTCGAAGTGATGGGTTTCCAAGGGGTCGACGAACTGAACCTATGTATCCAGATGAGGGTCCATCAAACTGCATGGAGGATTACATTCATGATGGGTTCTTTAGACCCCACATGCTTTGAGGAAAACGAGCTCACATAGACACCTGCGGTATCCTGGCTTATGAGGCTGATCAAGATTTTTTGTTTCATGATGGTTCTTATTTTGGTTCTGATAAGATTTTCAATAATCGTAGGGAGCTCACCAAGTTATGTATAGGCACCCTCATGGAGCTCGTGTTTATGGAAAAATGTCATCATGGCCATATGGGTTCTCTCAAAGGTCGCCTGGTTATTTATATATATATATACATCGAAAATCTTTAAATTTGCATGTACATAGCCCATTGACAACCCTATGTGCTTTTGCTTACCTTGCTCCAATGAAAATTGGCGGGGTTCTGGACAAAGTGTATGTAGTCATGGATGTTGTAGGACAACGGGACTACTTCTCATGGTAGTGCTACTTGTTCAGAACTTCAGATACTTCTAAGCCTATGCTAGTATGCCAGTCACTGGGGACCATTTACAAGAGGAACCAACTTCTGTGTCTGATGATTATGACAATTCAGTTGGTAAAAATTACTCTACCGAGAGTAAAACTGCTTTCCCTTCTTCATTTCCCAACCCCCAAGTTAATGCAAATGAGAGAAAGCGCTTAGCAAGTGATTCTCCCAAGCTGATCAAAGATAGAACTGCTATGCAAATATGTACACAGTGCTACCAAACATATGAAATTGTTTACACAGTGCTTCTACTAATAAAAGAATGCATATGCAAATATTTACACAGGTAAAGTCTTTACATATGTAAATATTTCTTGGGGAATATCTACGTAAGAACCAAACGTACCCTAAGAAAATAGCAAGTAAGGCTAAACTTAAAGCATATGATAATTTATACAATAAACTAGGGACATGAGAAGCTAAAAAAGATGCCTTCAAACTATCAAAAGTGAGAGTGAGGAAGTGTAAGGATTTGGATCACATTAGATGCAGTAAGAGTGAGGATTAGAGGATCCTGGTGAAAGCTGATGAGGTCAACGAAGGTAGAGAATTTATTTTCAAAAATTGTTAAACAATGAACACTATAAGAGCACGACATTAGGAGGAAAGTTTGACATAAATGAGGGCAGAGGTCATAGTAACATTAGCAGGATTAGGACATCTAAAATGAAAGAAGCTTTGAGAAAAGATGAAGATAGGAAATGTTTTAGGACCAGATGGTATAACGGTTTGGAAGTGCATGGGGGAGACTGGTATATGCTAGCTTGCCAAGCTATTTAACAAGGTGCTGAGAACAAAGAAAATCCCAGACAAATGAAAAAAAGTATTGTGGCACCTATTTACAAGAACAAAAGGGGCATACGATATTGTACAAATTATCGAGGGATTAAACTTATGAGTCACACTATGAAGCTGTGGGAGAGAGTAGTTGAGCAACAACTAAGGCATGGAACAAGTATATTAGAAAATCAGTTCGATTTTATGCCAGGGAGGTCAACTATTCAAGCTATTTTCCTTCTTAGGCAATTTATTGAGAAGTTAGGATAAAGGGAAAAGACCTCCACATGGTCTTTATTGATTTAGAGAAAGCATACAATAGGACACATAAAGATTTAATTTAGTAGGTGTTAGAAAAGAAAGGAGTCACTAGAGACTATATTGACATAGTGAATGATATACACGAGGGATCGTTAACTAGTATGTAAACAACTAGTAAAGGGACAAATAAGTTCTCAGTAACCATGGGCCTACATCAGGAGTCGGCGCTGTGCCCATATCTCTTTGTTTTGGCTGCGAACGAGTTAACCAAGAACCTACAAGATTAGGTAATGTAATGTATGTTGTTCACAGATGACATAGTTTTGATTGATGAGACTGTGGCGTCAACACAAAATTAGAACAATAGAGGGATGCTCTAGAATTTAAAGGTTTTAAAATTAGCCAAACTAAGATAATATATGGAATGCAAGTTTAGAAATAATAGGGGTATAAATGAGGAATTAGTTAGGATATGGTCAAGAAATACTTAAAAGAAATTGCTTATGATATCTAGGGTCGATAATTCAGGAGAATGTAGAGATTTAGATGTCACATATAGAATTAGAGCTAGGTAGGCGAAGTGGAGATGTGCATCTAGAGTTTTATGTGATCGCCGCATACCATTGAGATCAAAGGGGAAGTTCTATAGGATGGCTATAAGACCAGCCATATTGTAAGGGACAGAATATTGGGCGGTCAAGAAACAACATATCCATAGGATGAGCATAGCTGGGATGAGGATGTTGAGATGGATGAGTGGCAAGACAAGAAATGATAGAATTCAGAATGAATAATGCAAGGGAACTTTGGTGTGGCTTTAATAGGCGATAAAATGAGGGAAAGTAGATTTAGGTGAGCTGGCCATGTGCAGCGTAGACCCAATACAACACCAATTAGGAGGTGCAATCTGGTGCAAGTGGAAGGCTCTAAAAGGGCAAGGAGAAGGCCCACAAAGACATGGATAGAAGTAGTGAGAAAAGATATAGTGACTTTTGGTCTTACTATGGGTATGAGATAGAGAAGAATGGAAGAACAAGATTCATGTAGCTGACCCCACATAATTGGGATAAGGCTTGGATGATAATAATGATGATGACGATTCAGTTTGAATATAGTTTATTTGGCGGTATTTGTGGCACATGTGAGTATAATTTTCAGCAATTAATAAAAAATAGAAATTTTTTAAATTTATAACCTGGAACCTGCCCACATCTTTCAGTATAGACTTGAGTATTACATCTTGGAAATTGAAGATGATACACTGTTCACTATGGACATTGGAGGTTGCTGCTTAAATCATATATGAACCAAAATTTAAACAAGAGCTCTAAATTCACTGTATATATCAGCTAAAGACTTTTGGTGTTTAACTTGATCACTGCCAAGAAAAATTTAATAAAGAGAAGAGGAAAAGGTTTTGCACTGTGACAGAGTTGTTAGTCATAAAATACTAAGGGTAATACTTAAATATTATTATATGATTAAACTTTGTATGAGAGCTATTCGATGGATGAAGTTTAATTGCAACACCTGTTCTGTTAGTAAATCCAGAATTGTCGATTTAGAAAAATTTAAATCATTGTCTGTCTATTGTGTAACTTTTGGCAGAACCTTCTAAGGGATAGCAGGCTGCAGGGGATTGTGTTCCGAGGAATCAAATCTAGAAATCATGTATGCGATACTTACAAACTTTGTGCACCCTTGTGTTTTTTCTTGGTAATGAAGTTTAACCAAGTAATTTGGCATTCACTCTTTGAACCTAAGAAAATTTTTCTCATTTTCAATGAAGTTTTTGCCATTGTAGTGACCTTTTCTGAAATCATTATTATAGACCATTATTGAATAAGAAAAAAAAGCGCAAGTGATAGGTTTATTCCTGGTTCAAGTCAATCTTTGATGAACAAAGTCTTGTTCTTTTGCTTAGCTTCACTTTCAAGATGACAATTTGAAAAATCTCTGCACAGGTTGATGGAGCACGCAAACTCTTAAACCAGAATGTCACGACGTTGTTGTCTCTGGAATTCATTCATTGCAAACTGTCAGCATCTGCTTTGAACGATATTTCTTATTCTCTTTATGACAAGGGGAACCCAATGCACGGAATCCAACACTTATCGATCAAATCTTCAAGCTTTTTTATGGGAAACACAACTTTCCCATTTGGTTTTCTATCTTTTCTCTTGTCGGGAAGGTATGCATCATATTCTAATGTTTCCCTCGATTGTTAAGGGTCTATTTTATAAAGGCATGTGTGTTACTTGGACTCATCTATAACTTGAAAGGGTGCATTACTGTACTTCAACTTTGTAGGAGTAATAAATACTGAAATGCTCATTTTCTTACACATATGACAAAGTGTCATTCTACTTTTTACTCTCTGTGAACTTAGTCATAAATTGCTTTATGTAAACGATGATAAGATATTCAAATTGTGGATTATTAGGAATAATATAAAAGGGAAAGTCTGTGAACAATTATTGGCAGTGTTTTTAGAGCTGGCCAAGTCCACTCGTACTCTGCCAAGTAACTCGGGGCGAAGGTGAGTTGGGGTGCACAACTCGCTGGGCACCAAAAAAACCCTTAAAAAATAATACTAGTTAAAAATGAACAAAAATGGAAAATACCATTGTATTATTTAGAGATATGATTTTAGATGAATTGGTTGATTTTTAAGATTTTTCTTATTTTTCCTTTTTTTTTGTTATGAAATATTCAAGGCACAAATCGAAATTTTAAATAATCCATCTTGTATTAACGTTTTCCATATTCTTTAGTCAACTAATGATTTCTATTACCTCATTTTATTTTTGCTGATTTTTAACTATTTTTTTTCAATTTTTTACTTCTTTTTTTTTATTTTAAACATATTGTTGGGGTGGACATGGAAGATGTCACACATAGAATTAGAACTGGAAGGGAAAAGCAGAGATGTACAACTGGAGTTTTATGTGATCGCCGTATACTAATGAAGTTGAAGGGGAAGTTCTATACGACAGTTGTGAGACCAGCTTTGCTTTATGGGGCGGAATGTTTTTTTTGATAAAGTTTACCTTAAATTGATAAGATGGGCTATCCGCAGCGTGGATGCTCCAAAGTACATTGAGAACAAGAAAGAAAATAAAAAACCAAAAGGCCTTCTCAAAGAATATTACAAAGAAAGCAACCCAAATAAGACGCCACTCCAAAAACAGTAGTTTATGAGCCATCCATGGTTGCCGCTTCTTTAGCTAGGGTTTGCGTAGAAAGGCATTCATCAGTACGGGTGGGAGAGACCTGTCGAATTCCTTTCTCTACAGCAGCATAGCTCTTTCCTTATCCTTGATGTCAGTGCCGCTTGATTACCCTCCCTCCAAGTATGTTTCCATAAGCTTAGCATATCCCTGCAAAGGTGATTGATCTCATAAAAAAGGTGAGCCAAATGCCACTAGGGAGGGGTAGAGGTAGAAGCCCAAGTAATCACATTTTTGGACTCTCCCTCAATCGTAAGAGACACTAATATGAGAGGTTGGATTAGTTTGAGGCATTCCAAGAGTGCAATGGATTATGCTTCCGTAGAATCAGTATGGCCAAGGTGCTCTCTGAGAAGTACATCAGCTCCCGATGGTCCTGGGATAGCTAGGGAACATCCGTCGAAGTTTAGCTTGAAAGTGCCTTGGGCGGGAGGTCTCCATAATTCTGCCCTGGATGGACGCTTTCGGTTATAATGGAGTGTAGCCTCCCAATTCTGAAAAAGGCAGTACTGGATACTCCTTTGAAGGCCTTGTGGTTTGTCCCCCAAAACATCACCGAGGATTTGAGTTTGACAAAGGTGTTGTACCAGGAAGTGTGCTCTCCCCGGAATATTTGATTGTTTCGTTCATTCCATATGGCCCATAGAGAGGCTGCCACCACGGATTTCCACAACAAAATGCCTGCCTTCGCCCAAGGGAAAGACTGGACAGCGGATAGTATAAGGGGTATTGTGGCCGGTAGCACCCAGATACCCCATCTTTGGGGCTGGTCCACCGTGAGGACTCTCTAAGAAAGAGTTATCCACATGAAAATCTTGATTTTTGGTGGAGCAAAAGATGAATGTGGGGTGGTCAAGAAACAACATACCTATAGGGTGAGTGCAGCTAAGTTGAGGATGTTGAGCTGGATGAGTGGTAAGACAAGAAAGAATAGAACTCGAAATTAATACATTCGGGAGAACTTAAGTGTGTCTCCAATAGGCGATAAGATGAGAGAAAGTAGACTTAAGTGGGCTTGCCATGTGCAGCGCAAGCGCAATTAGGCACCTGTTAGGAGGTGTGAGTTGTTCAAGTGGAAGACTAAAAAAGGGTGAGCGGTAGGCCCAAAAGGATATGGCTGGAAGTAATGAGTAAAGAGACTTATGGTTTCACTGAGGGTATGACACTTGATAGAGCAGAATGGTAGACTAGAATTCGTGTAGCCGACCTAAAATAGTTGGGAAAAGGCTTTGTTGGTGGTGATGATGATTCTTGGGGTGGACATAACTTGGTCGATTCCACTTGGACTCGGCCTAGTTACTCGCCTTGGCCAAGGGCCACATACCTTGGCTGAGGCAAGCTTTAAAACATTGGTTATCTAAAATAAACGTTTGGGTGAAAGTTAATGTTTATGAACTTTAGTAATTAGAAAGCAAACATGTAATGCTAAGAATTGGCAAAATATTTTATCACAAATAACCATTTAAAAGATCAAGTGCTTCGATGAAATAATGAAGTGCTGGGATCACTAATGCTCCCAAATACCTCGAGAGCAGCATCTTTATTTGTATAGCTGTGTGAAGTTTCTGCACATACATTGATGAAATCATGGGTGTTGGTCCATTGACCATGGGAAATGTTAATCAAGGAAAAAAAAAGAAAAGATCATTTGAAATGTTAATTGAGTTTCATTGGTTCGACATGAGTGGAATATAATGTTGGCCCTAAGCACATTGTCAATGGGTGCCATCACTCTTTCATCCCTCATGAGTTGAGGAACACAAAGATTTAGCCTTGTAGGTGAGAAACAAAAATTAATATCAATACCATGAGCATAGTGTCTGTGACTTCTAGTATCCGGCAACGTCATCTTTCAGCAGCTAATTGTCTCCTTGTGCTTTTTAATGTTGCTTTCAGGGCTTAAACCATTTGATACCATGTTAATATGGGAAAGGATTGGTGAAAAAGCTCAAAAGGAGATGTTGTTTTCTCATTTATGTGCTTAAAACCTCAAATGAGGACTGTATGTACCATTCATCTAATAATATATTATACTGGGCAAAGATGCACATGAGATAATCCTCCTACATTGCTTGTATTCTTCACCCTAGGTGTCATACCCATGCCAGATACAGCTGGACACAGGTATCGCTACAGCATGGACGCAATTGGATTCTCCTTTTCAAAGAATCCTGAAGAGAGGTTTCTTGAGACACGTAAACACATGGAATCCGATGTCTAGATTCTTCCCAGGATGTGGTGGATTCATCTCCCAAAAGAATCCTATAATATAATATTATATTTTGAACATTTATTTTTTACCAGTTTGAACCAGTGGACCTCTATCATTCAATGACAAGGGTCGTGGCATTTGGTTCAATATTTTTGAGCGTCTTATTTTTTTATATTTTATTTTGGTGCATCTAGGGTAGGTCATATCCCCCCAGAATTTCAAATTAAAGGGATTTGGGAAAAAAAAAAGAAAAAGAGATTGAAAATAAAATGGTGCGCATAAATGTTGACCATCCATATCCTGGAGATTGAATCTTGGTCATCAGACATTGTTCCATACATGTCCATAAGATGTATTATTCTCAATTTCAGGGAATGGACAATAGAGATAATTTTCATACTCTGTGGAAATGGAAGTTAAGTTTTATTGAGATTCTCTCTCTCTTGATGCTCTCCTAATATCCACACTCTTGATGCTTTCCTAATACCCAGGGCTGGAATCTAAAATTACCTTTATTATCTCTATCTTCAATATGATAGGAACACAAATGAAGGTTATTTTGTTGTCAAAATTTTGGGAGTGGGGTTTTCAAAAATCACCATTAGAGTGGTGTATTAAGAAAATATTTATGGAGAGAAGTTTAAATGTGATTCTATTCAAGTGATGCCTCATTCCTAAAATTTCACAAGTCTATAATCTCGACCACCACAAGCATAAATCAGAAAAGATGGAATTTATCCTTAAAAGGAGATTATTGCAAAAGATTTAAAATCAATAGTCCAGAAAGTTTCAAAAGCAAGTCTAAAATAATATATTTTTGTGGTTTAAAATCTTTTTTCTTCTAGATTCATGACCAAGGATATTGACCAATTAAATTTTAGATCTGAAATCTATCTATGAGATGATTTTTGGAAGGAGACCACACTTGAATTGGTGCATCTGCTGACCCACCAAAACCTAATATATGTAGCCAGTTGCTAAATCATGTTTTTTAAGATTCAAAGAATCTGACACCCCTTTTCCGCCACTAACACCATTATCCATATCCATGAAACATAGAAGAACTCAGAGATGACTACAATGCTCTCAAGTCGCTATGTAACTATTGCAGAACTGTCCAAAAAGGTCTTGAAATTCATGTGGCCGAGAACCATTGATGCAGTATGGAATAGGGGAGAAGTGGAATCTTTTGGGGTTTCTTTTAAGCTGGTTAAACTGGGGTAGAATAGGAAGCTTGTTGGGACTCCTCATACTTTGAAGAAATAAAAATTAAATTCGAGTGGTGTTTGGAACTTTTTATTGAAGGATGGGCTGGGGCATTGGAAGGCGTTGTAAGGGTAGAGGCTTTAGGCATAGAGAGAAAAAGATCCACAGATTCGTACAATGTAAACAAAATATTTTTCTTTTTCAAGAAAAAAAGGAATAATGAAATATTTTTTCTTTATAAGTGAATCTCTAAGAAATACTTTGAAAGGAATGCTAAATTAAAGTTAGGTAGAAAAATAGAAGTTAAAACCTGTCAGTGATCAGGTATTTCACCCGCATGGTTCTGGATGCACCACTCTCACTACAATGTTGAAATTGATGCTTGCTTACTTGTGTGCCAGGTCATTGTATTCATTGAACATCTGTGATAGTGGCCTTGAATTTAAATTTGCACAAACGCTGTTGGACATGATCCATGATTCGAAATCTAGCTTATCTGCTCATGAGCCATCTGTCAATAAGGTAAGTGATACATCGGTTTATAAGCATGCAATTCTTGAATCATCACATAGGCACACACATGCACACTCATGCGCAAACAACACATACATGCATACGTTTGTGCATATTGATTAGATAGATAGATATAGACACATACATGTTTCTTATATGTATGTATAAATGAATATGGATTGATGAACAAATAATAGATATGCATGCAAGATCTTAGTGAAAAGCATGCACTCATTGCAGATTCCAGGTTGTAGTGCCAATGGAAGACTCCTACCTTGCTTTCTCTCATCTTCAGGAGTTGATTACTCACTTAAAGAATTACGTGTTCTCAATTTAAGGTAACTGATTAGAGCATGATCTTCTTATAGTTTTGGGCCTAGGCCTGTGTCTACTTATGGTGACTAAGCAGAGTTAGGTTGCATGTCTTGGAATTGCATCCATTTTTACGAGTTATATGCTATATTTGGATGATTCCTGCTTTTTGTTTGATAACGATATTCCATGAGCTGAGTTATGCCATTGCATCAGGGGAAATAATCTAGGCACAGAACATGCAGAATGCCTTAAATACCTTTTGATTCACACACCCCAGTTGCAGAGCTTGGATATAAGTGAGAATCCCATAGGGGATGATGGCATTGGGTCAGTTGGCATCTCTCTCTCTCTCTC